GAATTGCCTTAACAATTGGTTTAATGTCTCTTGTTAGCACCAATAATTGCAGCACCATTTATGGTCTTGTCTTTCGCAGGTTCTTTGAACCCTCAAGAATTTTGAACACTTTGCACTAGTGCAAATAGTAAGGGCCGTGGAGATAGAGCTTTATATAGCCTGGGATTGCTTACTGTGTGCTCCCAAGCAAGTCATGGGAAACTTCTGTCAAACTTAAGTTTCTTTGTAAAATGGGCTTAGTGGGCTGTTGTGAAAATTAAATTAATTAGGTCAAACATCTAAAAAGCATCTGTCACATAGTAGGCTTACATTAGTAAATTGTTGTCCATTTCCCTTTTCCTTCCTACTAGACAACTTGAAAAAGTTTCCTCCTAGCCCATAGCCACTCCTTGGTCCTTGCCCTGACTGCCCTGTTCTGTTCCCACAGAGGCAGGAGAGGCAGGAAAGGCAGCAGCGAGACCGTGGAGTGACCCGATCCAAGGCAGAAAAGGCACGGCCACCCATCGTGCCAGTGCCACAGGTGGATATCGTGCCTGGGAGGCTCAATGAGGCCGAGTGGATGGCGCTTACGGCTCTCGAGGAGGGAGAGGAGGTGGTGGGTGACATCTTGGCGGATCTGCTGGCTCGGGTCATGGATTCCGCCTTCAAAGTCTACCTGACCCAACAGGTAGGCTTGGGTCCAGGTCCTTTAGACTTATCTCCTGCCCCTCCCGCGCCTCGTTGTGGGCTGAGACCCTTTATCGCCCTTGCCTCCGCAGTGCATTCCATTCACCATCAGCCAGGCCAGGGAGGCCATGCTGCAGATCACTGAGTGGCGCTTCCTAGCCCAAGACAAGGGAGAATCTGCAGTGGCTGAGGACCCCACATGGGGCGAGGATGAGGAGCCATCGGCGTGTACGATAGACTCCTGGGCTCAAGGTTCAGTGCCAGTGCTGCACACACCCACCTTAGAGGGCCTGCAAGAGAACTTCAAAGGCGAAGTAAGCCCAGCCCCCGGCCCTCTCCTGACCTACAACCCCTGCCGCATCCTTGACCTCTTCAGGAGCCTCTCAGGACTCCTTTGTCCTTAGTGCTTTTCTCTCCTTTCCGACATCTCACTACCTGGTGCATTTCCCCAGGACCCCGGGAACGTGGACAGGATCGCTTTAGAAAGATCATGGATGGGTAGAGGCTCCCAGGAGCAGATGGAATCTCTGGAGCCTTCTCCGGAGCTGAGAGTCACCCCAGGCGCCCCTCCCACACCGGAGCTGTTTCAAGAGGCAGAGCCCAGAGGTCCTTTAGAGGAATCGGACCCACTCGTCGCCAGGTCCTTGAACGAGAGCTTCCAATCATCGGTGGAGGTGGAGTCTGCAGACAGTCCGCGGCCTTCTCTGGAGCTGTCCCTGGTAACGAGCTCCCAGGCCGCAGACCAGAGGGTACAGCCCCTCAGCTCCCAGTTGTTGGAAGACCCCAGCTACGGCATGCCCCAGCTGGACGCAGCTAGGGACCGGCCGGAGCCCAAGACAGAGGGGGTACTCCGCGTGGCCTCGGGCGTGTCGGTGCCAGCTAGGGACAGCCCCACCCGGCTCAGTCCCTCAGTGTCCTTCCAGTCGCAGCAGCCCTGGCGCCCGGATGTGCGGCCGAGCGCGCCTCCCTACGCAGTGGGCCATAAGGCGGCCGTGCGCCTGGACCCCACGCGGTTCCCGCGCCACTGGGTGCGCCCCCTGGCCGAGGTCCTGCTCCCAGACTCCGATACGCGCCCCTTGGAAGCCTACCGCGGGCGTCAGCCGGGTGAGAAGACCGAGGCCCTGGTGGAATCCCAAAGCCTTAGCCATGGCGACCGCGTCTTCCGGGCAAAGTTCTTTCCTTTCCGGCCTGACGTTCCTTTCCGTGCCTTGGGCCCAGGCCGCCGACCCCAATCCCCCACTTTAAAATTACGCCTACCGTCGCTATCCTTCGGGTCACAGCTGCCATTCCCCAGCCCCGGGCTGCATTTCCTCACCCGGTGCCCGGCGCTCCTTGATGTGGCTCGCAGCCCCAGCCCCAAGCTGTGGCCCAGTGCCAAGTGGCCCAGCGGCTGGGAGGGGGAGGCCGAGCTGCTGGGTGACCTGTGGGCTGGCCGGACCCGTGTGTCTGCACAGGGCCTGGAGCCCACAGACAGGGAGGATCAGGATCATCAAAGATGGCTTCAAACTACACCCCACGTCCTCGAGGCCACGTCCCAGGTGATGTGGAAGCCCATGTCACTGCCAGAAGCCATGAAGCTGGCCCCTGGTGTAAGCATGTGGAACCCAAGCACCCAGGTGCTGCTGAGCTCTGCCGTGCCCCAGGAGGAGGACAAAGACAGCAGCACCTTTCCTCCCATTGACCAGCACCCCATCCAGACAGGTGCGCCAAAGCCCCAGGTGACCGTGGCACAGCTAATGAACTCAACCCCCAAAGTGTGGTCGATCCCTTGCAAGCCCCTGCCCCATTCTGAGCCCTGAGCCTCTGGCAGTAGGAACGGGCCCTTCCCTCTGTTTGCCTGCCAGAAATAAACGCCTGAATTGCCTTAACAATTGGTTTAATGTCTCTTGTCAGTTTCTTCCAAGGGTGTTTACTCTCTCACTAAACCCCAAGAGCAGCAGTTGTCCTGCAGGCCTAGAAGAAGATAGAACACTTGTTCCAGGGAACAGCCTCACCACCACCCTTAGGAGACCCTGCATTTGGGCCAAGGCTGCTCCCCAGCAGAGGCATTCTGGAGAAACCCACCTCCCCCAAGGAGTAGACATCAGTGCTGCAAGTGGGTTTGGCTCTATAGGGAAAACTTTCAGTCTCCTTTCAGTAGAGGAGGAAGGGCATGGCCCTGCTTAGGCACAGAGTGATTCAAGACACATCAGACTTGATTTCTGATGTTTTTTTACTTCCCTGATCCCTGGAGCTTGGTCAATTTACCTTAGACTGCAAATCCAGATTTTACTTTTAGAGACATATTTATACGTATACAGGACTCAAGGAAATACTGATCCTCTTGATCTCTGCCTTGTGGCAGGGACAATCAGGTGTCCAGGGCACATTTACAGAGGAACTCTCTCAAGTTCAAACTGTGTGTTGAACAAGCTCAAGAGTGAGTGCCTCCTTAAATTTTGGATTAGGCTCCACACCTGCCTCATTTCTAGTCCCCAGTCTGCTTTGATTTACCCAGCCCCCAACTTCCTCCTGTATCACTTCTCAGTGTCAGGCCCAGGCTGTCTCTGTTCTGTTGCTGTGGGCTCCACTTGCACCCTGGTCTGGGGCCCTGGCTCTGTCCTTATTCTGGTCCTCCGGCTAGGACTATGTGTGCAGCTCTGACGGAAGTCTCATCCCTGGGACCTCCAGTGCTACTCCACAGATCTGACTGGGAAAATGACAGTGCTGACTGAGGCCAACAGTGGTGAGTTTTCCTCCTACCCTGTCACTGCACTAGGAGGCTTAGCCCTCAACAGCCCCTACAGGATGGGGACAGAGAGGAACAGCTGCTGTCGGCACCCTTGGCCCTCCACTCCAATCACTTCCCAGACTAGCCTACTCCGAAGCTGCCCTTCCACAGGCATCAGGAAGGTTGTGTTGCAGGAGCTGGCCTGGTGTGGGGCCCATGTGCTCCTGGGCTGCCGGAGCCAGGAGCATGGACAGCAAACCCTGACTGAGATCCAGGCAGCTCAGCTGGTGGGCAGCCTCAGGCAAGGTGGGCCTCAGCTCTATGGCCTTCATTCGGAGCTTTGCCCAGTGGCTTCTGCAGGAGGATCCTGAGATATACCTGCTGGTAAACAAGGCTGGAGTCAGTAGTATATGCCTTAGCTGGCTTCACCAAACACATTTCAGCAGCCTCCTTTCTAGCTCAGGGATCCCAAAACAGGTATCCTTAAAGCCTAACCTATACAATCCTGCTTAAACTTTCTAATCCATACACTCTCCTAAAAGGCCTACATTGAGTTATAGCCTCAAACTTCATTGCTCCCATCTTTGCATGTACATGCCCCTATGACATTTCTCCTGAACCCCAATATATCCCCCCTAGACCTTGTCTCTCTCAGGGTAGTCCCTTCATTTCTCACCACCTGTGTTCTCATCTTCTCCCAGGGTTCCCCAAGACACCTACCCCGGAGGGCCTGGATCTCACCTTTGCCGCCAGCTATGTTGGACCCTTTGTGCTTGCAAATCTACTCCAAGGAAGGATGGCCACCTTCTGTGCCCGTCTGTGCTGGCCCCTCTTCCCTCTACCCCTGGCATTCTGGTGACTCCCACAGCTACCTTCTGCCTCTTCTCAGGGGTCCCTTTTGATCTTTATGTCACTATGTCTGCAAGTTTAGGGTTCATTGACCTCTTTAAGAATCATTGTCTTTCCAGACATTTTTGGCTAAACACTAAAATTTGTATTTGTGATTCCTTCCTTCCTTCCTCCCTTCTTTCTTTCCTCCCTCCCTCCCTCCCTTCCTTCCTTCCTTCCTTCTGTCTTTTTCATTTTTTGAGATAGCATCTCCCTCTGTTGCCCAGGTTAAAGTGCAGTCATTGCATCATAACTCACTGCAGCCTGGAACTCCTGGGCTTAAGCAGTGTAATTCTCAATTTAAATGTAAGGCTTAAATAAATAAAAGTTTCAAAATAGTTTTAGCATTTTAAAAACAATACTGTAAATTCATATGTGACAACTACTATTTTTATACTTTATATAATCTAGATTTTTTTGTATACTTATATACTCTTTTAAAATTATTATTATTATTTTCTTTTTTGACAGAGTCTAACTCTCTTGCCTGAGCTAGAGTGCTGTGGCGTCAGCCTAGCTCACAGCAACCTCAAACTCCTGGGCTCAAGCGATCCTCCTGCCTCAGCCTCCTGGGTTGCTGGAACTACAGGCACGCGCCACCGTGCCCGGCTGATTTTTTCTATTTTTAGTTGTTTGGATAATTTCTTTCTATTTATAGTAGAGATGGGGTCTCTCTCTTACTCAGGCTGGTCTTGAACTCCTGAGCTCAAGCAATCCTCCCACCTCGACCTCCCAGAGTGCTAAGATTACAGGCGTGAGCCACCGGCCTGAAGTTATTTTTTAAAAAGATTTAGCTTGTTTTATTGATTGGAATTTTGGTTTTATTCCGTAGGAAGATAGTTTTTTAAAAAAATATTAAACTTGGCCGGGTGTGGTGGCTCATGCCTGTAATCCTAGCACTCTGGGAGGCCGAGGCAGGAGGATCACTCAAGGTCAGGAGTTCAAGACCAGCTTGAGCAAGAGCGAGACCCTGTCTCTACTAAAAATAGAAAGAAATTAGCTGGACAACTAAAAATATATAGAAAAAATTAGCCGGGCATGGTGGCACATGCCTGTAGTCCCAGCTACTCGGGAGGCTGAGGCAGGAGGATTGCTTGAGCCCAGGAGTTAGAGGTTGCCGTGAGCTAGGCCAATGCCACGGTTCTATAGCTCAGGCAACAGAGCAAGACTCTGACTCAAAAAAAAAAAAAAAAAATATTAAACTTGTCACTAGTTTTCCAGTGATGGTTCTCTTTAGTTTTTTCATTTTTAACACTTTCCCAAGTATCTCTGAACACATTTTTCTTTTCCCCCAAACCTTGCACCCTAATGTCCCTAGCACCCAGCTTAGTGTCTGCCATATTCCAGGTACTTAATGAACATTTGTGGGTTGAATAAATGAATGAATGAATGCATATATGACAGGCAGCTTTCGTGGCGTTTCCAGCCTCTCCTTCCCCATCTTAGCTATCAGTGAGATAAAACACATAAACGAGGATCAATTAAGTTAGCTCCAATTAGCAAGTGGGAGAAAAGCAAGGCAAAACTCCAAATACTAATGTGAAAGGGGAGGAAGAGCATTAGGAAAGCAGCTAATGAAAGTGAGGTCTCAGTTAACACTGAGCTCTCCTGTGCCTAGCCTGGGTGCCTGCATCGGGGGCCCACTGCACTGCTCAAGAAGCCCTGCAAGAGCTAGAATCTCCTCGAGAAGCGGGTTGGGGAGTGGGCCTGGGAGTTTACTCCAGGACTTGGGTTGGAGGAGTTTGGGCCTCTCTCTGCCCAGGAGCCCTACAACTGGCAGGGTCAGCCCACGTGGCGAATGTGTCTTCTTTTCAGCTAGCGCACGGGTACATTGATGAGGAGCACCTGAAAGGAGCTGGGGACCCTTTGACCTTCAAGCAAAACTATTACTGCAGAAAATTGCTTTTGACTTCATTCACCAGGGAGCTTCCTTGGAGACTTCAAGGGATACCCCCTACTCCTCCACTCCCGACACCAGCTCTCAACCCTTCATATCTCCTCCCAAAATGGCTTGGCCATCATATACTCCCAATATTCCCATACCGGCTGTTCACCCCCTGTGTTTATCATCTGTGCACCCTCTATTTTCCTCAACCCTGCCTTCACATCTCCTTTTAACATTTCCCCACTCTTTTGGCACCCACAACATCCCTTTCCTCCTAGTATTTTCCAACACCAACATCATCCATCATGTCCTTCCTACAGTTCACCCAACACTTTGAAATACCTACCCTTCCTTACTGGCTTGGATACTACCATTAATGTGAGCTGTGGAGCACTGATGTCCCTGGCACCACCTCCAAGTCTCTGATGGCCACCACCTGACAGACTCTTCCCCTATTGCACACTGTAGACCCACATCTGCCTCATCCTCCTCTCACTTCACTTTGCACTATACTTGTGTCTCACCCTCTCAGGTGTGACCGTGAACTCTGTGGACTCCAGTGTCATATTCATGGAGATTACGAAGCATTTTTTTTGGCCATGTTGCTTCCTCTTCTGGCTCATTACCTTCTTCGTTAAGGTGGATGGGGAAGGAGCTGGCTTGGCCTACAGAGGGGTACGGCAGGATTCAGCTTCTCGGTGTGTCCCCAGCGGGCTAAAGTCTGCCTGGTATGACTTCTTTTTCTTCCCCCTCTCCCACTATAGGATCTGAAACAAGGTGTGATCCAGGTCCTCTACCTGAGCTTGGCAGAGAAGCTGGATGGTTTCTCTGGAAAACATTTTAGCAGTTCCTGTATGATAACTCTTCCCATTAAAGCTGCTCAGGATCCTCATGTTGCCCAAAGCCTCTGGAATGCCTCAGTCCGACTAACAAACCTAGATGACATGGACTGACCATCTGTGACCCCTGCCCTAACTTGCCATGTTCCCTCTGACTTCCCACCCATACTCTGATTAGGTCCTTTGTTTGCTGGCTCCCTAGGATCAATCACCTTGTCCAGTACAGTGACCACTTCCTCTGTGTGTTGGCTGCCAGGAAACAGTTTCGTCTTCCACTTTATGGCCAGTTTTCTGATGGAAGTATTCATCCCTTGGGCACCAGCATCTCCCAACCTCCTGAGTCCTCGGTTGTGGTGACTGGAAGGAAAACTCTTTCCAGGGAGCATTAGGGGTATCAGGAAGAAAGGAAGCTTTCATCTGTACCTCTTGGTTCCCCAACCTGTGCTTCCTGGTTGTGGGGAAGATAGTACTACACAG